AACATGATGTACATGGGATATCCTGAAAGCGGGAGCCACCAGGCCGACAAAGTCTTTGGGGACCAGATGCAGGCGCTGCGCCCCATGACGTTGAAACCCGAGACCGAAGACGCGCTGGTCCAACTCACCCGGAAACGCAGCACGGAGCTCGTGCGCATGCACACGACCGACAAAAGTGCGTGCCGCGTCACGTTTGTCAAGGAAAAGCGCGGCGTGAGCGTGTTTGAAGGGACGAACCCGAAGAACCAGTTTATGGTCAAAGGCGAAACGACGGTGCGGGCGTCGGTGGAGGACATCCTCGACCGATTCCGCATGGGCAGCACGGGCGACTTTGACGAGATGGTGCACAAGCTCTTTGACTTGTACGCGTACAAGGGCGCGACGCTGGCGTTTGTGACGAACCAGCCCATTTCGGTGCACTGGATGGCCTTGAACACAGACAAGATGGAAACAAGGGACATCGTGTTTGCGTCGTACGCGCAGCTGTACGAGCAGACAGCGACCGGCAGCCTTGTCACGACGAGCGACCACAGTGACGGCGTTGTCGCTGCCGGATCCCTCGTGTGGGAATCGGTCAACATGGCGCGGGAGATTCCGCTTCTGCGCCAAAAGCTCACGGGGTGCACGAGGTACTTCATGCGCAACTGCGGGTTCTACGTCGAGCAGACCAACGACACGGACGTCAGCCGTGTGTCGTTTGTTCTCACGCTCGAGAACGAGACCGGGTACGTCCGCGGCTCCAAGTGGATGCACAGGCTGGCGATGTGCGTCGCCAACCTCGCGCGCAACCTTCGCACGATCGAGCTTGTCCCCAAGCCTCTCTGGAAAGAAACCGAGCACTGCATCCTGTGTCGAAAAACATTTCGGACGTTTCGCCGGCGCCACCACTGCCGACTCTGCGGGAACTCGGTGTGCAACGACTGCTCCAAGTCGTTGCCGCTGGATGGCCGACCGGTCGTGGACCAAGGACACGTCGTCCACGTGTCGGCCGTGCGCAGCTGCACCCGGTGCTTTGACGCGGCAAGCATGTCCAGCGGCAGCGCCATGATGTGCCAGCGCAGCTCGTCCGAGTACAGCGAGAGCAACTCGAGTCGCAACATGAGTTTTGATGACGCCAAGAACATCGCGTCGATGCGATCGAATGGCACAACATCGATCACCAAGAGCTTTGACCACTCGCACCGGTCCGACAGCAGCGCGACCCTGCACGGCGACACGGCGTCGGCATCCTACTTGTCTCACTCGTTATCGCCCGAGCAACTGCACTCGATGGATAAGCTCATGAACGCCACAACGTTGAGTGCTTTAACCCCCGCTGTCCCGACGCAGCCCAACCCAACGGTCGCAGAGCCGGCGTTTTTCGTCCTTGCACACAAGCCCTACTCGGCGAGCGAAGCCCGCGACGACGACGATCTTCTCAACCGCCTGAGCTACATTACATTGGACGACCAGTCGTCGTCGTCCGTCGTGTACGATGTCGACGGCGCGAACGGGTACGATATTAGCGCGACCGAGATCAAGCGGCAGCCGAGAGTCCCGCCATCGTTGCATGATCCGGACCCCGAGTCGTGGATGCAATTCAAGGTATTTGGCGATGCTGCGACGGCGGGGTGTTCCAAACGCACCGTGAGCCCCACGTCGTCGACCACGGGAGTCCCGAAGACGTTGTCCATGCGGGGTGACATGATCCTCCTCGAGTAGTAGTAGGTCGTACGACGTCGCCAATACAGTTGATGTAGCGCATTCGTGTGTCATCGAACAACCGCGATCGAGTGGGTTGCCGTGGTGGACGAAAGCACGGCTCGTGGCCGTCAAATCCGTGTTGTTACTCCATGCGGGCTTCACTTCGTGCCGTGGCCCCTACGAAGTGCACTCGAGTGCGGGCGGTAGAACGACACCATCGACACGCATCGTGCCTGTGCGATCGATGTTGCTCTGGTAGATCATCGAGTGGATGGATAGCCATGCTGCGAGTACGCGAACGGCTGTGGATGTACACTCGCGTCGCGCGGGGTGGCCGCCGATTCAATCTGCCAACTCCACAATTGTACACTGTAATTGTACCGTACAATTTTCCCCCATTGGTCAAGTTCGTACTCCAAACAACCGTATGCAGAGCGGATCCCACCGCCGCCGTGGACGACCCACCGACCTGACGACCGACCGCTGCGTCGTCCACTCGATGCCCCACGACGGCGTGCTGCTGCAGGCAACATGCCGTCGTTCGTGTGTGTGCGCACGATCGTTTGCCCGTTGCATGGGGGCGACGGGGGGAGGAGGGACTTGAAACCTGCTGGAATCGACGTAGCGTTACGAACACTGTGCTGGCTGAACGACTCAGATGGATGCACCACCACTCGCGTCGCACCTTCACTTGACATCTCTTCCACACTCACGTAACCCCGTATCTCGTGCGCTGGTCAAGGAAAAAGCGTCGACCGAGATATCGCATCCACACGTCGACGATCTCAGCGATCGTTGTCCAAGCGGGAGTGGCGCCCCAGGACAGACTCCCTCCCACACACTGAAAAAAGATGCAGCGTCCGATGCACCAATCCGATCGCTTCTAACCACAATATGGACCATCTGATTGGCTGGAACACACTACGCCACGACGGGACAACAAACACTTACATAAATCAAGTGAAAATCTCGTCCGTGTAGAGTAGCATTCCTGGGTACACAGGCTCACGACGGGAAGTGGAATCCATGGAAAGACCTCATATGATGCAACATATTGTCGTGGATGCTCAAAATATTCGAATTATATACATGTCGAATAGCATGAAACGAAAAGAATAGATCGACGAAAACCCACACGACCGTCCTTAAATTGTCTGCACTTGAAACAGGAGATGTTGCAACACTGTGTCGTGACACCATGGACAGGAACCAGGCGCCACGTGGGCGTAATGCGCACAGCTACTGCGTTGTGCCAGCCGGCGACCAGAGAAATGGCGAAGCTAATGGTCTGGCGCGGTGTTGGAGCGAGTATTTGGCAACGTGCTTTCCACGTCGAACGACATGCAAGCCTTCGCTGCGCCCACGACGCCTTCGGGACCTGTCGTATCCGTGTGGACCTTCTCCCCTCTCAAGAAGAAGATTGCGAGCGCCGTTGCGGCCGTCGCCGTGCTCGGGACGACCGCCGCCGTGATCGGGTCCCAATCCGACCACCCCATCGAAGCGCACACAGCGTCCACTGGCGCTGGTGGGTGCTCCGGTGTCGCGTACGACTCGTACCAGGCCGGCAATGCCGAACAACACTTTGCTGTGATCAAAACGAAGTTCTCCAACGTCCGCACGTACCAAACGTTGGTGGAGGGCACTTCCCGTGGATCGGTGAACCTCATCGACGTCGGTGCCAAGGCCGGGCTCGGCATGGCCTGTGGCCTCTGGAACCGCCTGGGCGAAGACTTCTTTCAGCGTGATTTGAATGCCCTCGTCGACGGCATCAAGCGCAACCCCGGTACGTGCCAGCAAGTGTACGTCGGGAACGAAGACGTGTTCTCTGGGTTCCCGAAAAGCGTGCTCTTGAGCCGCATCGGCGCCACCAAGGCAGCGCTGGCTGCCGCCGGGATCCGAGTCCCCGTCGGCACCGTCGAAACGGACGCCACCATGAAAGACCCCGCGCACGGCGATTTGGCCGCTGCCTGCGACGTGATCGGGATTAACGTGTACCCGTACGCTACGGGAGCGCCGATCAGCCAGCTCACGATCCGCTTCAATGAAGTCGCAAACAAATTCCCTGGTCGAGTTCACCTCACCGAAACGGGGTGGCCGTCGGCGGGCAACGACAAAGCCACGTTTGACAACGCAAGGAAGTACTTCATGGACTACCAGACGTGGAAGCAGACCGAAGGCGGCGAGTGCCCGTACTACTTTCAGTTCCACGATGTGACGATTAAGGGCGGCGATGAAGCCCACTTTGGACTGTCCGCCGATGGCTCGACGTGGAAATTCGATGTTGTCCCAGTGGTAACGACCCCCAAGCCGACGCCTGCTCCCACCACACTCGCCCCTACCCCGGCCCCGACGCCCGCGCCGACGCCAGCCCCGACCCCGGAGCCCTCGACTGTCAACACAACCGCAGTGCCGATGACCGAGAGCCTCTCGAATTCGACGAACACCACCACCCTTGAGCCACTTGTCAACGGCACGAACTCGTCCGCATTCACGATTTCGTCCATTGATGCTACTGCAACAAATGACCTGCCGGAAGGTCCGGCAGATGCAAGTGGAGGAAACGGAGGGGCCGTGTCGGAAGCGAACGCCCCTAGCAACGCCGTGAAGGACACCCTTGTCAACACATCGTCTGGCGACGATTCGGGCGATGCGGGCTCGCTTATCGGCGGCCTTCTCGGTGGCGCTGTCGGTGTGGCTGCTGTTGTGGCTGTAGTGATGTTTGCCATCCGCAACCGCCGCTCCGTCACGGAAGAAAAGCAGCGCGACTTTGATCAAGGCGACTTCTTCGTCGACAGCAACCGAAGCAGTCAGCTCTCCAACTGGCAGCGCGGCGGTGCTGTCGCCGTGCTTTAAGCCTCCTCGCAGGTGTGCGAAATGGAATATCCCTTGTACCTAGCTTATATTGTGCGCTGTTTGATTGGATTAATATTGAGTGAAATTACAAGATTTGATTAGACATCGCTTCGACAATTCAATTATTTTAACCAATCAAAATGTCGTACGTACCTCAAGAAGGGACAGCTCAAACTTGTGACAAAAACCGCTTCTGGACGCTTGAAACGGGTGAAATTGGTCGCTTCAGGGAGTTCCGAGTCGCTGGAACAGATAGGATGATCCTGCGTATTGTGGCGTTGAATATGCACAAATGTCATTTGTGCGAGGCCCATGTGCCGCCAATGTCGTCGCAAGCTCCTGTTGTTCTCGAACAGTCCTATAATTAGCCCGTCGTCTCGTCGACGACGCGCATCCTCCGTCTCTTCGAACCGCCGCCAGCTCGCGCGGTGCCCATGGCACCAGCAAAGGCAAAAAAATGGCCGAAAGGTGGAAACCACCCGTCTCCTTCGTCGGCGATGGTCGCAGCTCCTACGATCTCGAAAGAAGAGGCCGAGGCCGATAAGTTAGCTATGCTACAGCTGCAACACGCCGACATAGAGCGCCAACGGATCTTGTATCAAGAACAGGAAGAGCGACGGACGATGCTTGCAGCGGAAGTGGACTCGACATTATGTGGCACAATTGCGACCACCGGCGTGATCGACGTCTTTCGATACCGAGTCGTGTCGGCGATGTGGCTCGGGGTTGTCGGCGACTGTACGCGACATGCAGACAGCAAGCTGCAGTGGGGTTTCCACGGGGTGCGTTGTGGCGATATGAAACTCGCACTGTCGTGCTTATTCCAGTCACCTCCAGCGCAGGCAACCCTGCTCTGCACAGTCATGTCCGCCGTGCTCGATCCACAAGTGGAAGACTTTGACGGGCTTCATGCAGGGTTTACGTCATTGCTATTGCAATGGTATCAAAATGGTACGTTTCGGCGAAGCTGCCGAATGCCAGATAGCTGGGAATGAGCAAATCATGGTTGTTGTGGACTCAACTCGGCGAGTTGAGCAGGGTTATTGTCTGCGTCGAGTCGACCACGATCGCTGTCGACGTTTGAAGCACTGGAAATGGCTGCGCTGCAGGGAACATGTCCCCCGGCCACCGAGGCACTTCCGCATGACACGCTGCTGTCGCGGGCCCTCACGCTTGTACGGTGGAGGATGTCGCTCGCTGCATAAAATCCATGCTGGTGATCGCAGGTGCTGCTGCACTCGTTGGCTCCCCAACATGCCATGGACTTGGCCATGGCGACAGTCCAGAACTCTCCCCCCGAAGTTCAACAAGTTGCGCGCTACTTGGTACGCTACGCTTGCCCCTCTTTGATTGCTTCAACTCCATGTACTGACGGCTTCATGAGTAGGGCATGCTTGTCTTGGGATGCATTCAAGGCGTAAGCAAGGAAGCGCTCATGCGACCAAGCTTCATCGCTCGTGGGTTTCCGTCAGACTACTGGACGACCCATGTCGCTTGCGGCCCCGTTCAGCGAGTACATCCTCATTTCTCCCCTTGGACATGGAATCAAAACATTTTCGTAGGTGCTGTCCATGCTTCCCGATATTCCAGTCCCAACCGACTACAGTCCTAGTGGTGGGCAGGAGGCGCCCCCCATCAAACGGTCGTCGTCCTCTCACAGGTCGAATGGCTAGCGCATGTTGTTTCGTCGCTCCACGTGATATTGAGCTTGTTCGGAGCCGCAACGTCGATCCAGAACGGATTGGAACGACTCGAGGATGGATTTTACCACGCCCACACTGCCGTGGCGACCTCCCTTGGCATCTTGTGGGGTGCGGAGCTCGCGGGATCAAGACAACCTTATGTCTCGTCATGGCTTGCGTGTTTGTAGGAGCGCACTACGGCATTGACGCTCGATGCGACCCATGGTCAACCATCGTCGCCGAGACATCGCCGATTGTTCTTGGCGATTTGCTGCATTTGATCTTCCAGAATGGCTATGTCTTTGCGCTGCGCGTGAAGGAGGGGCTTGGTGGCCGAGCCACGACATCTGTACTAAATTCGCCAGCGACCAGCCAAAGAAGTCGACGCGGCTCGTTTTCGGGAAGCGCTTCGTCCATCGTCTGGTCCTTGTACGCGGCGGCATGCAAACCAATTCAGTTGATCGCGGCGCGTGCAAGGGCGACTGCTCTTGAAGTCGACCCGTGTGCCAGCCATGACAACCAGACACTAGCTCATGTCAACTGCGTCGATGGACGTCCCCCGCACTCGTACATGGATCAAACCGAGATGGCGGCTGAAGTGACAGACTTCTGGACATCTTACAACAATCGCGCGGTACGATTGCTCAGTCCTTGGATGGTGCCGTGAGATCGTTGGTCATGACGATATCCATTCCTCCAAAATGATGTTTGACGTCCTTGCAGGCAACTTTGGTGCCGCCGCCACCCGTAGGGATGCCACCCCCAGAATATCCCACGTCGACATCAACTGGTATAGATGCTTGAGTATCAAAGAACGAACGTGCCTCAGGTCTGAACAATTCAATTCGATATGTAGCGGGAGACCCAAAGCTTGTCACTGTTGACAGTTCCAACGCCAGCGGAGATGGACGACCCGCGAAAAAAGGAGGAGCCATTGTGGTCGAAGGCAAAGCTACCTCAGGACGAGGTTCGCTGCTATCGCAATCGACCGCACTCACGTATCGCAATGGAGCAGGATCGCCAACGAGACCCGCCAGCCGGCATAAAAACACAAAGTCGAAAAAGGACAAGAAAGCGTTGATGCCAACTCCCGATGAGGTTGCAAGACAGGAACTCCAACTTGAGCTCTCCGATCGATATGCTCATGTGCGACGGTCTATCCAGGTGAGATATAGAGTTGCAATATGGGTGCTTGCGCTCATGGCACCAGCAGACACACTTCGAAACGTTGCTTGCCATGTGCACCACCCAAGTCGCCGATGCATTCCAACGTGCCGGTGCTGTCCAATCATGGGCAACACTGTCTGCCATGGCAACGACGTTGCAATCAAACCAGGAGAAGTTACAGCAGCTCCATGCCAAACTCGCCGGAGACGGAACAACGGGCCAACTCCAGGTGCCGAAAGCCGCGCTTGCCGACATGTGCCATTGTAGCAACCTGATCACCCTCAAGACCGCCACTTGCAGGACAGACATGCTCCACGACATGTACTTCTGATCTGCGTACAGCTCAATGGACGCATGCCTTATCTCGGCGTCAACCATGAGCTGAATGACAGCGAGGTGTCGCATTTTCGCGATCTTGACGCCATGTGAAAACGTGAATAACCAGGATAAAAAGTGAGCAAAATGTTATTAGTGTGATTTCGACTCACACTATTTGGTTGTCGTAATACAGAGACGTTGACAAAAGCCCGAGTTGCACACTAAATAAGGTCTTATCCTTCTTGCACGATACGAGCAACGCGCGGTTTGAATCAACCAATCGAATGCATTGCGCGCCGCAGTAGTGGCAATTTAATGGAGATATCCAACCCCTCGATATAAATAGTAAGGTGAATTCAAATTCTATTAAAAAAATACGAGAGGCGCCAAAAACACATCACGATATTGTACACCATCGGAACATGCGGCGGTCGTTGTCATCGTCGGCGTCGGAGCCGAGCCCCGAACCTCGCCCATCCCGAGCTAGCGATGACCAGAAGAGAATGGTGGAAGCGTTGTCCAACCAGGTCGAGCTCCTGCAACAACGGGATCTGCACCAACACAACGAGTTGGACCGATTGCGAAGGTTTGCCCGGCGAGCATGGATGGCAATGAACCTCACGGCTGTATGTGTGTAGGCTCGTGGGCGATGCCTCTGCTGCCGCCCAGTCCTCCCCATTTCAATCACCTCCTCCCAAAGCATGCGCGCGATCCGACCAACACATCGATGAAATTGAAGCGCTGCGACGTGAAAAGCGGGATCTGCAGCTCCATAACTGCGAACTCGAAGTCCAAATCCAAGACGCCGCCCACAGTATTGAGGGATTCAGCGCAGCTATCGAGAAGCTTGAGGACGGGTACAAGACGAAGGAAGAGACGTGGAAACGACAGATCGCAGACCTGCAGCAGGAATGCGATGGCCTCGCACGCACCAACCGACAACTTCAAGGCCAACTCGCGCAGTTCGACCAAGTCAAGGAGAAACTTTCCAAGAAGGAACAAGCGCTGGCAGACCTCCGCGCCCAATTTGACGAGTACAAGATCCAATTGACTGAGTCAACACAAGATCGAAAGGTACTTCAGACCACACAAGAAACGCTTCGAGCGACGCAAGCTGCACTGGACAAAGCGGAGGCGCAGAACGCGTCCCTTTCGTCAAAATTGGACGTACTAAAGACGCAATACCGTGAATCGTGCCGGGCGTTGGACTCGAAATCCCGTCAACTGTCGCAGCTGGACGTGACGAGTCGCCCGCAAGGTCAATCCGTGCTAGTCCGGACTCTGCGGGACGAAGTCCGCTTGCTTAAAAGCACACTGGAAGCGCAGTTCCGTGACGAAAAAACCCAGTTGCAGGATCGAATTCACTCGCTCGAGAGCCAAGTCACCGCGATGCACACTACACTACGCCAAAAAGATGACTTGGTGATGTCGTTGCAAACCGAAGCACTGGAGAAAGACGTCGAGCTAAGCGCGATGGCTGATGCAAAACGCGCCGCGGATGGCAAGATCGATCGCCTCGAGCGCGAGCTCACAGCGGCGCGGGTCGAAATGGAGCAACTTGTTGAATGCCGGGGGTTCCTTGGTGACAATATTGAAACTGGTTTCAAGGAGTTACTCCTCCAAGATGAACAAACGGATGCCCTCGAGCGCGAACTTGCAGTCGCCCAAAGCAACATGCAACGCCTCCAACTCGAATGCCGAGGACTCAAGGACGATGTCAACACCCTTCGTGAAATGAACGAGCAACTTCGTCTGAAACGGGGGGAAATCCAAGAGCAAGTCGCCGCCAAAGACGCTGAATTGGCGACGCTGCGAGCCGACGCTCAGCGGGTTCCCGAGCTGCTGTCTGCACAGCGTGACTGGGAAGACATCATCGCAAAGCATGAACAAAGCATGAACGCCCTGCGCCACGACGTTGAACAACTTCAAAGCAAGCTCGACGCGCGGGCCGACTACGATGAAATTTTGGCGAAATTGCAGCGAGCCGAGGAGCGACTGACCTCGTGGCAGCATGCAAAAGACGAAGTGAAAGCTCGGGACAAACAGATGAAGCACTTGCTGCAGCGTTTGGAGGCAATTGGCAAGAGAAATGCTGAATTGGACGAAGTGTTACAACACGCATTGGCGCAGTCCAAGCAGGACCACGTGGACATGGTTGCATTGCGTGCTCGACTGAAATCGTCCAAGGAAAAGGTAAGAAAGTTGTTTGATGAAATGCATTTCCTTCAAAACGCCCCTGGCGCTCGGATGTTTCTAGGTCGCTCGATATGACGCCATGCAGCAAGCCGTCGTGGCAGCTGAAGACAAAGCTCGCGATGCCGTCACGATGAAGCATATGATCAAGCAGCAACTGGACACGTTGCAACGACAAGTGAGCGAGCTGCAGCGCGATAAGGTGAGGCACGAGGCCGACGTCAAGCAGTGGCAGCGAACTCAACAACACATGGAAGCCGTCATGGAGACCCACACAAAGGAACTCGTTGCCGAAATCGAAGGTCTGCAGCAGCAGGTTGCCAATGCCACCAAGAAGGCCGACATCGCCGTGAAGGCGCGGCGGGCGCTCGAGCTCGAAGTGCACGAGAAAAACTCCACCATTGCCAAACTCCATCAAGCTGTCAATATTCTCGACGCTCGGTCGTGTGTTACAGCCAGCCCCAAAGTTAAAGGAACCAGTCGAACACCACCCGTGGTCTCCAGCCCACGGCACCAACGACGAACTCCATCGGAGAGGACCGACCAAGACAGCGATATTCTACGACGGGTACCTCGCTTCGAACAAGGGCACGATTCGAGAGACAAAGCCACCAACAACCTGCAGCGGCTGTCACCAAACCCGGCCGAAGAAATGGAACTGCTCTTGAAGAAGCTCGAGCGGATATCCCAGCAATACACATAGACAGCGTCTGCTGGACAATACGATAGAGACTGTGCCGTCGCGTCAGTGGTGTAAAGTGTAACCTCGTTCTCGATGTGGACCGTACACGCTAGCTCCAGCCCTTTCATCCTTGACTACCATGAGTAATTCAGGATGGCTGTGCATGATTCAACATCGCATGCGGTATAGCTAAGGTGCGATGGTGCATGCGCTGCTCTCTTGTGCTCGACGCGTCCTTCGAACTCGTTGGCGCATTCGGTACGGAATGGTCACGGCTGGCAGGTCCTAGCCAAGGAAGGATAGCGCATCCTGGAACGGGGTCAAGTGTGGGTTTCAGGCAGCACCTGGCTGAAGCTAGCCATCCATGTCATTGCAACGTGTCACGGGCACCTGCCATGGAGTATCGAGTCGAAACCTGGCGCGTTGTGTGACCCGCTTGCATCGTTTGTCCTGACGATTTTGACATGCATGAATATCAGTCGACCAATTTTTCACGTTTTGGAGTATATTTGAAATATTGTTTACAAGCATAATTTCGTCCGATGCTGCGATTGGCCAGTTTTGATAACCGTGGACAATTCAACTCCACACAACATCGCGGGCGATCGCGATGGCCGGGCTTGGACATGCTGAACTGCGCGACGCGATGGCTGGTCGCTTCGGTGACATTGGCATTCTCGAGGGCATTGCGCAAAAGCTGTGTGCGCTACAAGAAACGTTCGCTGTCCGCGTGGAAAACCCCGTCCTTGTTGTGTTCACGTGCAACGATGATGCCACGAAGGACGAGCACACTGCAAGCCGTGTCGCTGCATTGTCCGACGTGACTTACCACACTGTCCACGTGGCTCACGAAGACAGCTCTTTGGACACGGAACAAGTCCTGAAAGCCATGCACCACGGACGTGATGCCATCAAGGTGATTCTCGCCAACGGTGTCCACAAATCCGTCAGTGTTGCCAGTCTGGACACCTCGCCCGAGTTTACGTCGCGCCTTTCAAAGGCCTTAGCGCTCCCACCAAACTCAGCCCCCGATAGCCCCACCAACAGCGCGTACAGTCCCATCCTCAAGCACGAGGATCCGTTTGCAATGCTGGTTGCGACAAGGAGCCCAATTGTCGCTGCCATCTGTGGCGCTATTGCTGAAGCTGCGTCGCAAAAAGTGCCCGTGGTTCTGGACGGTCTTGCCGCCGTCGTAGCCGCTGTGATTGCTACCTATATAGCTCCACAGGCAACTCGCCACGCCTTCTTTGCTGTACGCTCGATCCACACGTCGAATGAAGTACACCGAGCGGATCCATGCTTTGAAAGTCTCCTGCAAAATCGGTCCATCATGACCCTTCCGCTTCCGCGACTTGGCCCTGGTGCTAGCGGCATTCACGCTCTATCCCTTCTCCACACTGCGGAGCGCTTGGTATTGGCGTTGAATGTCCAGTCTCCCACGGAATACAAGGACAGGAACAACGACGCCAGCTCCGTTATGGCCGCAACCACATCTACCGCGCGGGCGGCGCACGTCGATGGCTCTCTGCCGCCTCCCCCCGAACTCCGAATCTTTCTCACATCCGTCATGTTTCTCACGAGGCTGCCGGCATACAAGATCATTCCAGACCTAGACCACAACGTCCGTGAGCTCGTGCCGTCATTTTGTTACTTTCCGTTCATCGGTTGGGGCGTTGGCGCGTTTGCAGCGCTGTGGCTAGTCTTGGGCCATGTCGTGTTTGGGTCGACCGCGATCGCCGTGATCCTGTCAACGTTTGCGTCCGTGTGGCTCACGGGGTGCTTCCACGAAGACGGAGTGGCCGACACGTTCGACTCGTTTGGGGGCGGCTGGTCCAAAGATGACATCCTTCGCATCATGAAAGACAGTCGTCTGGGCACGTATGGATGCATGGGACTGCTTCTCATGACAGCGCTCAAATTCGCCGTTCTGGCCCACCTCGTCGCGACGGTCGGCCTCTCGTCCGTGTCATGCGCCCTTGTCGCGGGCCACGTCCTCGGCCGGTACTCGTCGCTGTTCATCCTCCAGTTTTACCCGTATGTGGAAGACGAGCGCGACCCCAAGGGTCCCCTCTACAACGGAATTGGCAACAACGTGCACTTGCTCACGCCATGGCGAGTCTGGGTAGCATCCATCTTCACTGCAGTGTCCATGGCCATCCTTCTCGGCCCCGCGCTCGGCATGTGTGTCTTCACAGTGGCCCTCCTCGTGTCGTTCGTGTCGGGGCAGTACTTTTCCGGGTTCCTCGGTGGAGTCATTGGCGATTGCCTCGGGTGCGCCAACCAAGTCGTCGAAATCGTCGCGTACATGACGATCAGCGCCATTCTCAACAGCGCCACCAGAACTCACGTGTGCACGGGAAGCACGTAGCCGCGCTGCATCCTGTTGCCCGCAAACGAGGTCGACGTGTAGTGTGCTTTGAATGCAAGTCGTCGCATGTCCAAACGACGTGATACACTCCATCGAGAACGACCTGTTTAGATGCGCGGCGACGGCATTCGTTCCCGTACGCTCAGAGCCGCATTGGACGCGACAGATCTGGCTACCCATGGAGCTGCCACGTCGAGCGTCGATCGAGCCAGCACAGTGTCAGCGCCAACGTCGCGGCCGCCAAAGCTCCTACATCCTGGAACTCGCTTTGTGGCATGCTTCACAAAGCAAGCCTGTCCGAGTCGTGCACTCCCGGCAATGCGACCACACCGGAGCGCCGCATCCAACTTTTGTTCGTTCTTTGCTGTGTTTTGACGCAAACCGAACGCAATACGTGACGATGGGCACTCAACTCTGTTCGAAACACTCCTTCAGTTGAATCCACTGCAGCACAAGGCCGTGGGGCGGCGCCCCTGCGACCAATGTCCTGTCCGTGGGGTGCGTGACCATATCGCGGACTTGTTGCGGCGTGAGCTTGCCGAGCCCGACGTCGACTAACACGCCGACAATCGTGCGGACCATTTTGTACAGAAACCGGTTCCCGACCACTTGGACGTGCAAGATCTGGTCCGCATCAGTGTGCAAGTGCACTTTCGTGACTGTACACCACGTGCTCGTGGCCTCGTCGAGGGCTTTGGACGGTGTGAACATGCGGAAGTCCTGCGCTTCGTCGCTTTGCAGGAATCCTGCGGCTTCCACCATCGCGTCGACGTTTAGCGGCTTGGCCATCTGCGGAATCGAGTGGGACGTGTACAAACAGTGGATGTTGGTTGTACCTGCCACACTTGATGGCGCTGCAATGGTAGCCGCGTGGCGCCATGGCGAAGGCGGTAGATGTAGCACTTGGCTTTATTTTGTCGACGTGGTTCAAAGTCGGCAGGGACACGTCGCGTCATGGCCGTGATCACCTACTCCATGCTTCGCTTCAGCAATGCATGCCATGGACATATCGACGAGTCACTGCACCACATCGTCTGGCAGGCGGTTGTTGATGGCTCGCAGAAACACGGACGTGTCGTCATTGGAATCGTCGTCGATGGCGACCGCACTTGCAAACGCGATGACTTGACCCACGGCATGCACGCCCTTGTCTGTCCGTGAAGCAAATCGAAGACGGATCGTTTCTCCAGTCGTTCGTTTCAACGCATCCTCCAACACGCGTTGCACCGTGCGCGCCGCGGCGGCCCCGTTCGACTTGTTGGCGTCTTGAAGATCTTGCAGCTGGAACCCGATGAATCCACTGCCGTCATACGACACCGTGGCGCAATACGTTCGCAGCGCTGACCCTAACGGCAAGTAGCTGCCGTACGACTTGTCCCGCTTGTTCCTTTTGCGAGGACGGCCATCGTCCGCTGCTGGCTCCGCAGGTGCTGGAGACGTCGTGGCCATTTTTTTTATCGTTGGCCAAAATATTGCTAGTACGACATCGATCGATATTTACGAAAGCATGACGTTTTACAATATTTTTTACCAAACGTGTCGGTGTATTCAGAGTGGGGCACATCTCGCGGCGGCACCGATTCCTCCACAGTGTGCAGTCATGCTGACGTGGTCGAATTTTAAACTCCGCGAGAACCATTTACACACACACGGTTTTGAGTTGCTTTATCAATTGCGCGCCTTGTGCTGCAGGCGAAAGTACCGCTTCGTCTGGCTCCACATGCCATCGTTCGTGTACACGACAACTGCAAACAACACGATGCCGAACCCCATGAACGCCAACGGCCCTGTGTATAGCCCTTGGTCGGGGTGCTCGATCGTGCCTTCAATGCCAAAGTTGGCGGGCTTTTCCTGACGGACGTGATTGTTCACGGCGGTCGCGGCACCACCATCGTGGTCGTCGACGCTGCCCACGCTGTTTTTGTGCTCGGGAACATGCAGCATCGGGTACATATGCCATCCCGGCAGCATCGCTTCGATCTCGGCGGGCTTTTGATATGGCACCCAGTGGAGCTGCTTGCACGAATGCTGATCTGTCTTGCCTTCTTCAAACGTAATGCCGGAAAACGCGAGAAAATCCTTGAACGACCGGACCGTTCCAAAGTTGTACTTTTCCCATTCTTCCGTGTCCACGAGGCCCTGGAAGGGCTGGCCCACCATCAGCTTGAATCGATTCACGCCCATCTCTTCTTGCTTCTTCTTGAGGCCCAAGTCGACCTTGACATTTTCAAATCTAGCATCGACTCGGTCATGACGCAAATTTAATGGCCATGCCCATGTTGGCCATGGACCATACTGTCAAAAGCTCAGGATGCAGCGCCAAAGGCCAATCGTGATCGGATACAACGAGCTCACACCATGCAGATCATATCAAACCATCGCGCAAACCAATGGAGGAAGGATGCACTGACTCTGCATTCGGAGCATCATAGCGAATACAAGCGACATCAACATACACCCCAGTGCCTGGCTCTCGCAAGATGAACCGGTAAAAAGCATATAGAAAATCAAACGGCAACGCAAGTGAGCAGAATCGGGCGGTACCTGGCTGGGACGGACGTGTAGTTGTGGTAAATGACCGTGCCAGTGGTGCTGGGGCTGTACATGTCGTACCCGTACGTCCAAAGATGCGACGCTCGAAGGAACTCTTCCCCATCAAACATCCACAGTGTGTGCGAGTCGATGGGGACGCGCTTCTCGGCATGACATTTGCTAAAGCTCAAACCAGCCCCCCACAACGCTGACATCTGAGGGTGCTGTGGACGTTGGATCATGCTTGCTCCGACCGTGCGTACACAGCCATTGCCGCCACGGATCGTCGTGCACAGATGGGGGAGTTGGTCGGGCGGGTTGTTGGTGCCGTCCGACTTGATGTAGCCTTCATGGCAGTGGTGCAAGTACGTACTCAAGACGGCCATTTCGTTATTCGTTGCCTTCCAATCCATGAAGAGACCTTCGTCCCATTTTTTGGTGAAGATGCTGTGGGCATCCAGCTGCAGACAAAACTCTTGGTCCCCCACGAGTTTTTGCTGGTGGTGCCGAGCGTAGGTTGGCCCACGGGAGTCGTCCGCGAGTCGTTCGTCGACTTTGATGTGGCTTTTGTACTTGCAGTCTTCGTCGGGCCACTCTTGTTTGGCAAATGCGCAGTACGCATCGATGCATCGTTGGTCCTCTGGATTCACCTGGTCCACAACGCCAAAGTACAGACGTTCGGGGTGCGTCGCGCGCGTAAACCCCGTGAACAACGTGTACCCACATCGGTAGCCATCGCGGAACGTAGAGAGACCCACAAAGATGTCAAACACGTCGGGCACTCGTGGCGTCGGCGGACGAAGGTGGCTGCTCGCCGGATCCAGTGGGATGTTCTGCGACAACGGGTCCACAGTTTCATCGTAATGTTTCTTCGCGTCGTTCTCTGGCCATGAAAACGCAATACTTTGCGGACGTGGGGTCTCCGCCGCGACCAGCGCTGCCGCGATTGCCATCACAATTCCTTGTACGTGCATGCTACGTGGACGATGTCAAGTCAAAGTGGTCGAGTTTGGGAAGGAAGGTGGTGTTTTTCCCAACGAATGGTGTTTGTCCCACAAAGACGACGGACCAGCCAATCAAATTGGAATATGTCTCGGGAGAGGCATGAAGACGTCAGGACGACGAACACCCGTGCAGGGCTCGGAACCATTGTCTTGACACGTCCAACCTGCGACCGACTCGACTACCTTACTGCATTGCCCTGTCCATCGTCCTGCCCTGATGGACCGTGACTCGTCTCCCCGTGAGTGATTCCCAATTTCGAGGGAAGGACTAACTAACGACACCGCGTATCGCGTCGTTAGTTAGTCCTTCCCTGAGTACTTACTTTTCCCGGATGGGACTACTCGAAATTAATCAGCATAAATTCCCCAACGACGTCGTTATTGATCTCGATCAAGGGAATTTTCTGCACGAAACCTGCTGTGGTATGTCTGGGAGATCTACCAAACGAATATACCACAACGTGTCTCGCACGTGTTCGTCTGTTTTAATGATGAATTGACCGAACAGTGATGATCCCACAACGTTTGCACGTTTTTTCCAAATATAAAGTTTTCCAGGATAATAACTGCAGGAAGGCCGATGCTGCCTTGTCAAAAGGCCCTCAAGAACTTTATGTCACGTTATTTTTCACGGGGTATTAATTTATACCAGGGTGCAAACGTTGCGGGATCACTGTATTTTTCGATTCAGAAGACGACGTAATTTCGAATGGCCCGTCCGTACAAGCCCAACACGAATACGGTTCCAACAAGTCGATGGGGTGCAGCAATGATCGACCAGGCTCTGTCTGGGACAGCTCCTTCTTGACAACTCCAGTTCGTTTTGTATCCCCGATTGCGCCATGAAAGTGCTTGCGCGTCGCCATATCGTGTGCATGGACATGCTCTGCGAATGTCCATCGCGTGCTGGGTGTGCAAAAGAGGTCGACACCGGCAACCCTGCTGCACCCATCCCGCACCCTTGGGTAGTTTGGACACACGATGGTGGAGTTGACTTTCGTCGGAATTATGGAGATGAATTCAACTGAATTACGTCGATGAATTACCGTGGATTTCGATAAAGTGCGACAAGAGCCATATTTCATTCAACCAATTGAACGCGCACACACGAGAGCACCGCCTCCAAGATTCGCATGCTCGACATCTTGTCGTCGCCGCTCAGGGGGTACTTGGCGCAGACGCTGCAGTACTACCTGTCCAAGTACCTCAAGGACATTCACCTGGAAGGTCTGGGGTTCTTCGGAAACGACCTCATCCTCAACGACCTCGAAATCAAGCGGCATGTGCTCCAAACTGCGCTCGATATTCCGTCCTCGTTCGACTTTTCGCGCGGCTTCATTCGAGTACATGGCGACTCCAGCTGCGTTCGCGACCTCACACGTGTATGACGCGAATGTAGGAGCTGCGCATCCACATACCATGGACACAGATTCTGTCGCAGCCCATCGAAGTCAAGCTGTACACGGTCGAGTTGATCTTGACGGCGAAAAACGACCATGATCCAAGCATACGACGACGACGGCACAGCAATGGATCGGAATGCAGCAGTGTCACACTCAACACCCAAACGTCCAGGTACGTCGAGGTCGTTGTATATTCGCGTTGACGGACTTCCCGCCAGGCAGCCCACGGACGCCGACCCTCCCATCGACCCCCCCAAATCCACGTGGTTGCAGAGCATGCTGACTAAGATTCTCGCAAACATCTCCATCCAGGTGCTCCATCCATCATACCATTGACTCGAACAATCACCAAAGTACAAAGGGGCGTGGAAATGCTGTAGATTAACAATCTCGTTCTCAAGTACGAGCAAGACGACATTGTGCTTTCTTTGACGCTGGGGGTACGTTGCAGCCATGACGGTCCTGCGGTGCCATGGATACGCCCGTGGTCACCGTCGACAGCACTAACGCAAGGCGATTGCACAATGCAGCTGCTAGACATCTACTCTGCCAACGACAAACAAGCATGGGCGCGCGGGTTTGACGAGCCCAACGGACCGGACAAGAGAATTGCCAAGGTGATTGCCATGACGCTTGATTGAAATCCCGCAGTGCCATGCTTGATTCAACTCGTGTTGTAGCGCATGGACGCCAGAGACATTTCCATCTTCTTGGATCGGTATACGAGCGATCGTTTATTCGTCGACACCGACTCGGATATTATCCACCGCCAAGTCATTGGCTATGAAGTGCGTTTGTCGTTTTCGGCATGATGTATAGGCTGGTGTGGGGCGGCACTGCGTTGAAACTTGATCGAGTGGTGATGAAGCGGAGACATGACAAGGCGAGTTTGCTGGCGTGTAGGTACCCGTGCTTCGGCGCACAAGCTTCGGTGTGCGAGTCCATTACGCGCTTGAACCCACGCCGTCCGTCCTTCCCGCTCATCCCAACGGTTCATCGTACATGCCAAGCCCACTCCGCGATCCCTTTCACGGGTATCTGTTGCACCAACGGCCGTCGGTCGTTCTGGCGGAATTTTTCGTCAACGAGCTGAATTTCTCGCTCAGCGACCGCCAGGTTCAAATGCTCGTGCATGTCACGGCACGACAGCGTCATGCTAAACCAGTCACTAAACCGATCCCGTTTATGAACCGAGCGCATTCCTCACCGCTTCCCAACGCGGCGCCGTTGAAGGCGAATGACGTGCCATCAATCAACGACGACAGTTCTCCTGCTTCTCTTTCTCAAACCGCCGACAAGTTGGACGCATCAAGTCCGAGTTCCGACCACACATCCCATGGCAAGCCGACAACATCGTGGTCGTCGTGGGCCATCGGCATGCTTGTAGGAGAACCTGACGATCTGGAAGCGGAGCTGTTGAAGGATATTCAAGCCACGAGCGGTTCGTCTTCGAAGGCCCCGACGGGGAGTGTGGCCGCACAAAATCCAGCAGAGGCCACGGATGCGGACGACCGTCAAAGCGATGACGTCGAGGGCAATTCGTTCGTATCGAGCTTGCACGCTGTGACGATTCGCGTCTCGATTCAACATACCTCACTGACGTTGCGATGCCATGCTCCGAACGATTCGTCGTCCGACCCGTCCGCGTTTTCGTTTTCATCGTCCCCTACGACTCCAATCGATCAAGTCGAGTTCGTGCCAGTCGCCAACATGGGCCTCGTCCAAGTCGCGTCGTTCTCGCCGGCCCACACCAAGACCAAAATTTCCAAAGCCGCCGAGCCCGTTGCCATCATCAACTTGACTGGCACGCTTGTTTCGTGGGCCATGGATGACTCGCTCGTCAAGGAGCTCGTGGTCGAGGTCGAGAACGTCGTGGGCCAGCATATCGTCGCTCCTCGTGCCGATCCGGCCTTGACAACACTTGCTTCCACCACCACCACGCCCGTCCATGAAGAATTCCTCCGAATGGGGACGTTTCACAGCACGGGCCAGCGGTCGAGTGTTCACCCCAATGTCGACCAGTCTTTGTTTGCACTCGAGTTGCACAACGATGCGACGTGGAACCCTCTATTGCAGCACGTGCGCCACCTGCTATGGGACCCAGAGACCCAAACTCACGTGTACGAGTACTCGGCCCTTCCGTCCACGCCGTTGTCAACGAAAATTGCGGCGCCAGGCGGCGCGAACGTTGCGCTTGCGTCGCCGTTTGGGGTTCCTCAAGTTGCATGGCCACCGCCCATGTGCACTTGTACCTCTCGCCACAAAATCGAGTCCATTGAAGCGTTTTGGAGCGATGCCATGGCATTGCTACGCCAAAACGTACTCTCTTCCGGCAACGCAACGAACCAACGCGCCACTTTGATCGATGCCATTTCGCAGCTGATGCTGAAGCAGTACGCACCGTCGTCGGCTACGACACTGCAGCGCCTCGTTGAAGACCTCGTGAATACTTTCCAGCAAGCCGTCACGGTGTCGAACGGCCTGTACGTAGCAAGGCGCCGACGCAGCAAGGATGCGGCGGAATTGCCTGATGTAACGCCAACCAACGAACACCTCCAACGCTTGCTCCTGCCATCCCTTGTGGCGCTGTCAGCTCACCTTGTCGGCCACTCGTGCCGCCGTCGAGCTGCCACCAGTGCCTTTCGCCTTCACATGGTGGAGTCGGAGGAAAATCGTGTTGGCGGTGTTGCTGGTCCGTCGCCGTTTGCTTCCACGGTCGTGGACATGACCGTTGGCGTCGTGCACGGTGCCCTGGCCTTGGGACCGATTCGCACAGCCGTCGATTTCGTCCAGCGCATCGAGTTTCCACCACGTATGTGGACGATTTCCCATGCTCTGGCAAAAAACACCAGGAGAACTGATGTGCATAGGTGCAGCTCCAGGTGCTTCCAACAATTTTGCAGCGGACGGTGGACACGCTTCAGGTGACTACCGCTTTCACTGGCTGGTTTACGTCGATCGAGTCGTCGTGCAGTGTGTTTTGGACAAAGTTGCGTTGAAGTTTGCTTTGAGCAATGCCTGGATGCAAACGTCGCACGAGCAACACCAGTACCCAGATCACCTTTCGACCCACCACCCACCACGTCGGGCACTCTCAACATCGAGTGGAATGACGTTCGTGGAAGATGCATGTGTCCACGTAAACGGCACGGCACTCGTTCGTGTGCACCACGCGAACACGGCCTGTTCCTACTGGCACAACGACGCCGCTTTGTGGACCGATGCCAACAACTGGAAAAGCAATGGCGTCGACATTGAAGCAAGTGTCGAAGCCATCACATGCGAGTGGAATCGCCAAGCCGGCGTCGACGTGTTTGTGCATGTACTGCCGTCATTTGCAAACGTGGTGCACGTGCCCATGACGCGGCAGTGGACAACGCATTTGGATGGATTTTATACCGACCTCGCGGCACACCAACAACGCGACGCGTTGTTTCAAGGCACGGTGGCCGGTGTGTGTGGTCGCGTTCGAATGGCGGAAGCGAATCCAAACGATCGCGACGCCACTCGGACAGGCATCGAAACATCGTGCGCGGTGGATGTGTCTTCCGTCACTTGCCACCGCGCAGGACGTGACGTTTTCACGACAAGTGCACCGGACCGATCGCAGCAAGTGTCCGAGCGCCGTCCATGGGCCCATGTGGACCTTACCGCGTGGGCTTTTCCACCAAACGTCCCAACGACCACCACGTCTTGGTCGTCTCTCGAAAGGGCACGTGTGTTTCGGCATCTTTTCGAGTCGTGTGGCCCTCCATCGATTCTATCTTCGATTTGGGCTCATCATGAACCAAGCAACAACTCCTCGAAACGTGAACGGATGCAATTGGAATGCAGCTGCAATTTTCACATGGGCACATTTACAGTCGACTGGCGGCATGTCGTTGCGCTTCTTGATGCTATTCCGCCATGGAGCCCGGCTCGTTCTCGTGGCGTTGGCAGGGCCTCAACGTCGGACCAGCAAACCCAAAGCACACCTGTCGACAACTCAATGCCCCACAACCAACCCGTCTGGTTCGACCAAGTTGACGGGTGGACGTGCAAGGTTAGCGCGCGGGCCGACGCGTCGACGTGGACTCTGTCACGGCATGTTATCATGACGCTGCCCCATGTGACTCTTCACACAATCGAGTCCATGCCACGGTGAGCAGTTGTGTTTGGGGTGCTTCAATTCACGTTCTACTTGCTGTACACAGACGCCACCACACCAACATCGTTGGCTCGATCGCGCTTGGACTTGCTGTGTCGGAGTGGGGCGTCAAGTGTAACCACAGCCGTGTGGTGTGGAGTGATGGCATGAAGGCAACTCTGTCTATCGGCCACTCCAAGCACGTTTCCTTCCAACGCGAGAACGCCCGTCCCTACGACGCCATCGACCTCGACGTCTCGGTTGCGTTTGAAAAACTGACGGGTGCATTATCTCCGCTACATGTACGCCCGCCGCATAGATTTCTCCATGGGTATCACGCGCATCGCTAGGTGGTTCTACTAGCGTCGATGCCAACGGCTCGACCAACGCCGCCCGCGTTGGACCAAGCACGCCACTACTGCGTCCCATCAAACTCTCTCGAAACCACCTCAACACCTCCGTCGATTCCTTTTGCCGCCGCCATTGCGTGGTGCGTCAAGGGCGGCGTTCAAGTCCAAGAAGTGGACATTCAACTCGTTTTTCCTTCTAATCTCATTCAACTTGCAGCGAGAAACATGTCGACGGCATTACGGGCGAGCAACTACTCCCCGCTTCACCCCGTGGCCCCGTCCACCTCGCTCTTCATCGACTCGCAGTTCTTGCTGCATGACTTGTCCATCCTGGAGGACCGCACGTTGCGTTGCCGCGTGAGTCCGTTGTTCCATGACCTGCCATCGTCGTCGCTGTTTGGCATTTTGCTGTGTTTGGACCCGGTCGATGTCCACACTTTTGCAACTGCGGCTGGAATCGACCATCTCCCGCCAGATATGGCTACCATGGAGCAGGATGCACTGCTGCGGTGGCAGTACACGACTCACCTCGCTCGGCAATGCATCGCGGCCACAACGCCACGACCTCGATGCCGCGTCAAGCTGCCCTTGATGTGCACGGCGCGCTCGTTCACACCAACGTTGAGCTACGAAGAGTCTGTGTTTTTGTCGCTTTTCATGCGAAATTACGGCGGAAGTGGCATCGCCGCCTCGACGGCAACGTCCCCAGCCACGATGTATCTCACGGGACACATGGAAAGCGTCGATGTGGTTGTCACGGCGCATTCGTTGCGGTCGATTGTTGATCTCGTGGATACAATCGACCGGACAAAGTCGAGTTGCGCGAGCAACTCCAGCGTCGTTCGACCAACTGCACCGCCATCAACGGGCCATGACAACACTACGGCGAGCTTGCCATGCATTGCATTTCAAACGGATGCCATTCGACTGATTCTGCCCATGGAAACGATGGTGTGCGTCGACAACTTGCATGTGGAATCTTTCCCAGGCCACGACCACCTGTCCATGGAAGGCCTGAGCTCGCCACCGTTCACGCCACTGCAAAAGAAACCGAGGCATCTCACGCCAATGTATCGACCGCGCTTGTCGCCAACGTCCGAGCTACCCATTCAATCCTTGCAAACTCGTCTGCAAAACGTGTATGTGGCAAACGTGACGTGGAAACCAGCCACCCAAATGGTCGAACCTGTGTCAGGAAGCCCATTTGAAGTGTCCTTGGCTCGCGTGACTCGCCGCCACCCACCCCTCGCTTTGGCTAAAGTGACCTACATCATGCCCCCTATTCAAGTGTCGGTCGACGTTGACATGGTCAGGTCGCCTCGACTCGCCGAACCAGCATGCTTGGAACTGTCCCTGCACGTAACAAAAGTAATTGTCGACTTGCCTCGAAGTTGTCAAGTTCGCTCGCTCGTGAACGTCACCCAACGGTACGTGCAAGCGATCGAGCCAAGCAAGAACCGTTCACCACACAATGCGCGGCGCCACCGTCGCCATGCCAATGCGTCGAGCGCGACGCCAAGGACCATGACCCTGGGATGCCGATTTGTCGTGGATGGTATCGAGTTCCACGTTGGAACGTCCCCACGTCAAGTCGAGTCGCAAGCGACACCTACTCGTTTTGACCCGATCGTTCATGTTCGAGTTGGCTCCATGTCAGCTGCCCACAGCGCATGCACCGGTCAAGGCTCGGCGTCCGTCAAGATCGTTGTGGTGGCGTTTCAACACTGCGAACACGAGGAAACGTTGGTCTTGGCGCCGTTCGCCGACCCATCCGAGTGGCAAGTCGCCGTGGAAAAGTACCCCGAGACAAGTCTATCTGCCACATGGACGATGGCGGCCGTGTCGAACGTGTGGGAGTTGTCCGCACTGGTCGAACTCCAGGGCCAGCAGTGTCATTTGTCTAGCTCGTTCATCGAAGCGACTCGGCACTTGCTTTCGACAACACTGTCACGTGGTCAACTTCGGTTTGCTGACCGAACGGCACAAACCAACCAAATGGCTGGTGTGCGCACAGCTGTACCCATCGCCGGCGTCCCCGTTCAGATGGGCAAGGTCAAATTGTTGTGGTCCCCAAGCGCCGCCACGTATTCGTCAAACGAGTCCAAGTCGGCGAGTGCCTCAGCCGTCATGACGTTTGGCCCAGTCTTTGCTAGCCTGCACATGGGCTACAATGCGACCGAGATGCACCAAGTACAAAGAGACCGGCCACGGTCCGTTTTGCACCAATACATGCCGCTGACCGTCGTCGAAGGCATGGGTACCGTTCAAGGGATTCGCTTGGCAGTGGCGACCTTCCTCCAAGCTCCAACAAGCGCCACGGCACCGTCGACACTGTCGATGTCGTCGCAATCGTCGTGGACGACGTTTGAATCTCGCGTGACATTGCCTGACCCGTCTTCTGTCCTGCTCCAGGATTTTCAAGTGCGAGGGGCGGCGACTGTGCATCACGTTGTTGCTCTCGAGTCGAGTGGCAAGCGCCTGTGCAGCGGCAATGACTTTGTAATCGACGTTCAAGTGGAGAGTACACCGATCGACGGCGCCATTTGCTTTGAATCGTGGACGCTGCTCGATGGCGTTGTGGCCGACCTAGGACGCGTGCTTGCACCAACCGAGAATCCCATTTCAATTCACGAGGCCGATGCCAACGCGACTTGTGGTCCCTCGACACGGGAGGCCACCCCGACGACCGACGACGATGTCGACTTGGACGCGCCTCCATCGTCGTCGCCCCCTACGCTCAACGACTTTGTCGAGCTCGACTTGTGCTCAGACTCGTCGCGCGAGCACCCTGTGCCTGGCGAACTGTTGCATATCACGAGTCCAACGCTTGTGGCGGGTAGCTCCCACCCATTCCAAGTTGCTGCCACCATGCGCTTGACGGCGGCAACTCTACAAGACGATATCGACAGGCTAGTCCACCACGTGAACGATCCTTGGCTTTCTCGGACGGATGACGTGGAAGAAGAAGGCGGCGCGACGACGATCGGTCGCTTGCGGTGGGCATACCACCTCCCCAGGCGTGTGTGCCGCCTGGTGGCGTCTCCGTTGCCGTTGTCCGACGTCGTCGTGCACGAGCAATGGCCGCGCCTGCAATTGTCGGACCGCGTCACTCGCCTCTGCGACGTCTGGTGCGACCTGCGCTGTTGGTCCACGGCCGACAGCACGTTTGTGTCGGTGGGTTCGTTCTTCGTTCCGTGGGAACGTCAGCGCAGCGATGCCGAACCGACTTCATTTGCGTCGGCATTGCGAAGTTGGGTCGAGCTGACTCCATCCGACGACGAAAGGGAATTGGAACGACAGCTTCGATGGACGTATGTCGCGCGGGAATACCATCCAGTGCACGTCCGAAGCGCGCAGCAGTGGGAGCTGCGGTGGTGCCTTCCCGGGGCGGCACACCCGTCGACGTCGCCATCTCTTGACCACGTACGCTCCCGTGATCGTTGTCGTTTTGCTGAGTTTGCACGTCTAGATTCGACTGTCCAAGTCCATTGGCGACCGCTTGGCATGCTCTCTTCGAGTCAGCTCGTACTCGGACCCCGAAGACTTGACGGGGTATTCTGTTTCGTGTGCAATACCACATGTGCAGTTGATGCTGCGCCGTGGCCAAGGCGAGCTACACGATGTCGCGCGGCTGAAGTGCACCGACCTTGCGGTCGGCCTCCACAGTGCGCTCTCTTCATTTCGTGTCACGGGGGCTGTCACGGGCGAGCTCCAAAACATGGTCACACTGTCGTCCATCCCAGTGCTGCCTCCCGTGCATGTTGCGATCGGGGGGTGGTCCGCGATGGACCGCCACCACGAGGCCGAGAACGCTTGCGATCCGTCGGACCAACGCATGACGGTATTGCGCATGACCAAACCGATCAAGGTGTCTCGAATCCGCATGTCTGCAAGCCCTGTGCGCCTGCAACTAACACCGTATGCAGTCAAGTGCTTGATGGAGTGGCCGACGTTGGTTTCGGAAACCCCGCACGACTTGACAGACATGCGGATCCTTGTCACGAACGGCACGAGCGAGGTCGTGCGCTACCGGCAAGTTTCAACGCGGGAGCTGCGTGCGTTGGCGCCGCACGCGGCGGTGGTGTATAGCTGGCAGTCGATCCACGCGCCATTGCAACTTCAGTTTGCCGTCTCCGGCAACCACTGGTGCTCTGGGTGCGACCTGAGCCAACCTGGCGTCATGCATCGCGAATGCCCCGTGCATGGGTCGTTCTGGGTCGAAGTGTCCGTGGACGGGATTCAAATCCAGGTCACGTTGCGAGGGTCCGTCATGCTGCACAACTTTACAGCCCAAACGCTTCTGTGCAAACTGACCATCCCCAACAAACACAACGACGTGGTGGCCAGTGCAGCCCCATGCGGTGCGACCGCCTCGATACGACAGGACTGCTCGTGCACTGTGGTGCCGTTTATGGCCCGCAGCCAAGCCAGGCTTTGTCTTGGCTTGGATCCGAGTAAGGACGGAACGGAAGATGTCGCATGGAGTGTGTCGCTGGATCTCGTTCCAGCCGTGAATCGCTTGGAATCGGCACCGACAACGAGTGCGCCAACAACGCGCGCCACTTTAGTGTCGGTGTCGCATCCCGCTTCGCCGCGGACGTTCCATGCGTGGGTCGTGGTGACTCGAGCAGTGTCTCCTGTGGTACGTTGGATCTCCAACGATGGTTCGTTGAGCCACAAATTCACGCGATTCCCTGTAGCTGCAACGTAGCGATATCCATCGAGTCGCGCTTCGGTACACGTGGGTACAAGTGTGTGTGTGGCCAATTTTGCACGTGTCAAGCTCGTTGTCGATTGCGTTGCAGGTCGATGTCGTCGACAAGTCGGCCAGAACCGTGTTGTCCGAGGTATGTGAGAGCACATTGCACGGAGGCGAACGCGTCGTAGGTCTTGGCGCCGTCCCGGCACTGGGCATTGACCGAATACAATCCACGCCAGCAGCACACGCTCGTGTTTGCATCTCCAAGCGCGTCGGGCGTCGACAACGCTAGCAAGAAAAGTCCACTGCTTCATTTCGACATCCCCCGCTTCGTGTCGGTGGAGGACGCCACCGACATGCCGTCGTACCCGTCCGCCGCCATTCAAATGGACATACCAAATCATGGATTCGTCACTGTCACTCGGCACGCACCTGGCATCCCGATGCGATGCATTGCGCTGTGCCCGCGATTTCGAGTGCGAAACGATCTGCCGATTCCGATGGTGCTGCGTTTCGCTGGCAGCGACGACGACGCGTCGTCACCCCACGTGCACATTCCAGCAGGCTCCGACCACGATACTGGCTGGCCGTCCTTTTTTGTTGGCGTCGAGCCGTACGACACGTTGGTCTGGTCAACCACAACAGTGACGATGCACGTGCTCGACGCCCCCACCGCCATGGTGTGGTCGTTTAAAGCGGCTCACGACCAGCCGTACGTCGTCCGCGGTGTCGTGATCAAATACGCGACCGCCAGCGCATGTGAGACTGTCCGCATCACGATAGCGCCCGTTGCTGTCGTCTGCAACGCCACGGTTTGCAATCGCCATGCCCATCGTGTCGTGAGAAGGTGGTTTTTGTGTATAGGACTGGCCGCTGTGCATCAAGCCAACGAGTTGTGCCATGGACACGTTGACGCCGACACTCGTACGACGTTTGGAAGGATGAATGGCAATATGGGGGATAACGTCGTGCTTAGGCCTTGCGACCGCAAGCGCCGTGGTGGGTTTGGGAAGCGGACGAGTCGCACGCGCCATCTGACGCGACACTACGGAGTAAACGCAGTAGTTTGACGTGGATACACCAACGCCTGAGCAGCACCAGCTTGGACGGCCACAGCGGTGTCCCGACTGGACACGGGCCGTCGATTCTTCTGTCGATCGCAGAAGAAACGTCCGAGTACGGCTGGTCGGAAATGATTTCAATCCATGCTACGATGCCTCTGCGCCACCGCGTGGTGCTCCCCCACCACCAGCATCATAGCCGCCTCGCGACCATCCACAAGATATCCCAGGACAGCCACACAACGCTCGTGCTTGTCGCCCACGATCCACAGCCACCCGTTTTATTCATCAACTATGTCGACCGCGCGTTTGGATTCGCCACAGAGCAGACTCCTGTCATGGTGCCGGCGCGTGGAACGATGGAGTTTGACTGGACCATCCAAACGGGTTCGGTCGATGCCACTGCAAAAAGCGTGTTTGATACCATGCACGAACAGCCACCTCCGGTTCGATTTCGACTGTGCGATCCTGGAACGCCGGGCGCGGGGTGGTCCAACGTGGTCTGGATGGCAGAAGGCATCCAGTTTGCCAAAATCGCAGCCCCCGACGGCAACGCGGTCGTCCTCTTGCTCACCATATACAAGCGAGCTGGGACGTGGGTCGTCCGCGTGGAGTGTGTGGAAGGACCGTATTCGAACCACGACCCCCACAGCCCCACCAACACACCACCACGTCCATCCATTCCGCATCATGTTCGAGTTGACGTTGTGCTCGACGAGGTCGCGGTCAGTCTACTCGACGAGCACGCCGTGACGAACTCGATGTACTGCGAACTCTTTCGACTGTCCGCAAACACGTGCCAAGCGTCGATGCTCATGGCGTCCGACGTAATCCCTGAAGCTGCCATGCACCGCCACCACTTGGGCTACTTGGCCCATGTTGATACGTTTTCGACTTTCGTCGTCCGCGTCGGGACTGTCGAGTTTGTGCACTTGTTCGACGATTGCAATTTTCCCGTCATCGTGGCCACGACGCCGCCGCCATCGACAGCGCGCTCTCGTCAGCCCCTGTCGGACTCGGCCTTGGTCGCCAAGGACTTGCCGTCAGGAGCCAACAGCGTCGTGCTGCGCGTGATTGTCGCCCATCCACACAAACACGTGAGATCGCTGCCGTACATTCAAGCGATCAACGTGGCCATCGCACCCGTGACTATCCAGGTACGCCATCGTTGGACGACCTGGTGAGATGCCACACCGCTTGAAGCATTCCGTGCTTGATGGGTAGGTGGAAGACTCGTTGCTGTCCAAGGTCATGCTGTGGATAGCGCCGCTGCAATCGGCGGCAAACCCACGTCGGCGCTCGACACCGCCTGCACCAAAGCCTCATCAGCCTCGTGCGCCCATGCCGAAGCTATACATTGAGTCCCTCACGATTCACGCGATGGAGCTTACAATCACTGCTCGCGCCCTCTACGGCCTGGACCGCACGCCGCTCACGCTGTCGAGTGTACACGTCACGAATGCACTCTGCGACGCGGATCAACTGATCAAAGATATTGCGGCCAACTACGCCGCCGATGCGTTGGTGCACAGCCCCATGGTGCTGCTGTCCCTCAACGTGTTTGGCAATCCAGCGTACGACTGTCCAGCGTGAATTTCAAGTTGGGTCATGCTCTTGATGGACGTAGTGGGTTTTTCCGCGATGTCAGCGCCGGCATGGCCGATCTCGTCCGCATGCCCCTGCGAGCGATTTCCCAAGATGGTTACACCCCGTACAACTTGACCCGTGGCGTTGTCCACGGCACATCGTCGTTTCTCATGCATGCTTCGGTGTGTACCCCGTTGGAGCGATGCCGGCAGCTCAACGTCCGCGTAGGTCGCAGCATTGACGTCAGTGTCGGGTGTTGCGATGGCCATCTCGAACTCGATGGACCACTTGGCGTTAGCCCATCAGCCACGTGCTCAAGTAATACCGACAACGTTTGCGTCGGGGCTGTCAGGGGGACTGGCTTCACTCGGGAGCGCCGTGGTTGGAGCGGCCACGGGCGTCGTCACAACGCCGCTGGCACTTTATCGTGACAATGAAGCGAGGGGCCAAGACACTGGTACGATGGATCTCTCCACTTGGTCCATGCCAACTCCATGTGCATCCACTCGTGGTGGGATTTGTTTTGTAGGACTGGGTGGGGGCCTCGTCGGTGTCGGCAAAGGTCTGGTCGGGATCGTGGCCCAACCGATGAGTGGCGTCGCGTCGCTGGTATCGATGACGTCGCAGGGGTTGCTCGTCGAACTCGGATTCGGGCCGGTGCGTCCCACACCGTTGCAAGTCGCCATGACGAGAAACGAAGCCCTCCACGTGCGATGGAAGGTCCTGTCCGAGTGGCACGTCACTGGCGACATCCAGTACGCGCGCGCGTTGTTTTTAGACGACGAAGCTGCTGCGGTCCCGTCGCCACCGGCCAGTGAGTTGGACCCTCAAGCACTGGCATGGTTACTTCCCCGCGATCGAGTGCCCGGCGCGTCGCCAATTTGTGTCGTTTTCCTCGTGATAACGACCACGCACGTGTTTATTGTGGACGAGGCCGAGATGATCCGTCAGCACATTGCCCTCGCCCAAGTGTCTGCCATGGAACAAAACGTCATGGAGCCGACAAAGCTGGATCTCGGCGTCGGGTTGCCGGCGCTCAAGCTCCAGTGGTATCGCTTCCGCCTGGCGGCACTGGATCGCCGCCGTCTCGCGCGGGTTGTTGCTGGGTTGAAGAAGTGGTAAGAGTTGAACATGGCTATGTGTGTTTCCACATGCCAGCACAACCGTGTCGACGCATGCCCAGCAATTTCAACCAACTTTCGTGTTTCAACGACGAGGTTTCATCTAGCACGACGGGACGTGACGCTATTTTGTGCATGCCGCACGGAAGCGATGAACTGTCGACGTAGCGGACAGACCATGGCCATGGCCAAGCGGTGCAAAACGACAGGACAAGCTTCATGCGTCCTACGCAGCATGGCGATGTGGAGATGGGGTCGATGGCAAGGGAACGCCGTCGTCTGCTGCGTCGGCGCGCTCGGGACGAGGAGCATGCGCGAGTGGCGTGTCCGTGGCGTAAAATTCGTGGTACGTTGCGGTAGTGGACACACCCACAACGACGCATCCCGCCGACAGCGCCAACGACGTCACAACGTGAATCGAGTCGGTCACCACGGCGTGAGAGGTGGTGGCGCACGGAAGGGTTTCGTACTTGACGACTTGCGGCGTGTACCGACTGACCAGCCCGCACATCGGCACGGCGCACGACCCCCACACAAACACAGTGCCTGCAATCAAACCATATACAAAGGGACAGATCGACGGACGAGATGCGCTTGCCTGTCGCGGACACGGCAGCACAGGTCGTCGCGATGCTCCGAATCATGTAAATCGGGTCAGACACCTACAACACACACGTGACGTGGGCAGCAACTGCACGCGATGGCACACACCGGTTCCGGGAACGCGACGACGGTCGGCACGGCGGAAAAGAGCATCTCGCGCATGCCCCGACCGAGCTGTCCACTCCAGTTTTGCCCAAACGTGTACACGTCGCCGACGTCGCTGAGGACTATCGTGTGGTCGTCACCGGCCTCGACGTCCACAACCACCTTGTCCTGTGCGCCACCATGCAATCGTTGAGCCATCGAGTGAACGACGTAGACGGAACCTGCAAGAACGCAATGACTGCGGGCTCGGAGACGTCGTCGGTGAGCCCCGTCCCGAGTTGGCCGTGGAGGTTCCCGCCCCAGCTGTACACGAGCCCGTGGGAATCGGCGCAGACAACGTGCGTCGCGCCGCAGGCCACGGTTCGTACGGGGCGATGGAATCCAACGACTTGCTGTGGGGTCCAAGTCTCACGGTCCACCAGAGCCCCCCGTCCCAACCGCCCAAACACCCCTAGGCATCGTCGTGACGACGGATCGGAAGTCGACGAAGATTGGCAGTGTTGTACCGTTTCCCCAAGTGAAGACTGCGCCTGCTTTCGACAGTGCCACGTAGAATTCGCCCCCGCCACACTTGGCAGCATGCACGTCGGACAGCGTCGGAGCAATCGCGCGGGGGCCCATTTGAATCTGCCAAACACAATCAAAGTGGTTCGAGTTTGTGCGGCCGGGATGTGACTGCTTCGATCGCAGAATCGTTCTGGCCATACCTTGGCCTGCTGCCACCTAGCACATGCGAGTGCCACTTGATCGTCGTAGCTCTGGACGTCGTTGGTACACCCGTGCTGCGCCGTTCTGGAAGGCGGGTGCTCCTTGTTTTGCCGAGTTAACCACATCGAGTACTCGTGCACGGCCTATGGATTCCAACCCGATGACTGTCCGCTGACCAACTCTTCGTCCAGCACATCGCGCATCCTGTCGTTGTCCACTGGCATTGCTACCTTGTGAAATTCACGTGGGGCCACTTTGTACGCACTCGCGTCGATATGGTGCACGTCATCGAGCGTCGGGGCAAAGCACGGACGTTGGAGGCGGCCGGCGCCAACGTGCAAGTTGTCGGTCGTTGGCAAGTCGTCCAAAACGGACGGTCGAGAAGTCGCCATGACGTCGCCATTGCCCCATTCAAACAAACGTCCGCCCACCGTGAACAAAACGTTTCCAAAATTGCACGACATGCGCTCGACGCGGGTGCCACGAAATCTACGCCCACGTTGCCTCAGACGGCCCTGCAACGAGCAGGAAGAGCTTGCGTTACACGTGGATCTGTTCCAGCCACAGGGGGCGGTCGCCTGCGGTGGGGGGCATCCCCGCTGCAATCTGAAACGAAGTAGATGCCATGATAGGGCCCACCCCGCCGGCCATTCGAGACGTCTTGGAGTGTCGACGATCCGGTGACAAAAAGTACGCGGCAAGCAGCTTGTCCGGTGAGAGACCGTGGCACGCGCGGGTTCGATCGACGGCGGCTTTGCCCAACAGAGCGGCGGACGACGCAATGACTTGATGGTCTTGATCGGACGCCACAGCCAAACAAAAGTATCGACCGCTGAATAGCCGAAGGTACGGCTTCCTGCAGCCACGTAAGAGGATTGACACGGCAGCACACGAAAATGCCATACGTGAGGAACACGCAGTGCCGCTCGAGGGCGCGCGTGGCAGTGTTGAACACGATTGCGTAGACGTGCTACGACGCACGAACTCAGGCAATTGTATCGCAACGGTAGACGATGGACGAAAGAGGGATGGCATGTATCTCACTTGATAGCTCGCTTTGAGCGCCCTGCACGCTTTCACCAGCGCCTTTCGCTGACTCTACAGCGATGCAAGTCATGTCAGCGCATGGGCGAATGGAACGTTTTGTACCCATATCCACTGATCGTGCAACTGCTCCTTTGTCGGCCGCAGTTTGTCCGTGTTGGTTGCATTGCTCGCGAGTTGACGCGGCAAGACGGGGGCGTGATGCTGGATCTGCCGCGCCCGCCCTACCTCGCCACGACGCTCAGCAGATCATGCAAGCATTCCAAAGGGAGCACAAGACATTCTGTCCGTACGTTTGTTCAGGGGAGGTTTTGGTGCATTCTGGCGAATGTCAGTGTCGGCGGGAACCACCAACTCGGCGCCAGCGACGCCTTTGGATAGGTAAAAGTTGGCAAATTGGACCAAGTGTTTGCGGCGTTTCATCGACACAATGACGTGAGCGAGCGGCGCGTTCTCCAGGGATTCCATGTGTGCATTCCACTCGCCGTACATGCGCTTGGACACGAGGCGAACAAACTGCTTCTTGTCCAGTGCCATCTTCTTGGCCTCCATGTCGTCGATCATGGCTTGGACGTCCGTCGTGGCGGCTCCCGCCGTGTAGGGCAAGATGCCAGCCATCTCCTTGGCAGTGACGCACCCGCTGTCCTTGTCCACGAGCTCGTCAAATAAATCGCCGACTTCATCAACTTGTGCCGGTGTCGCCGTCGTTGCCAGAGACCGCGGCGCCATCGCGTTCAAGTGAAACGGGTTGGCAAGATCGCGAGCGAGCGATGCCATTGGCTGAAAAAAGTGACCTTTGACCAAAGTACGTAAAACGGACTTAGCGTTGAGATCTTTCCATCGATCACCTCAACTCGCGCCTCCATCCCGCTGCTATGATGTCGCCGGGGAAAGCCGTGAGTGGCAGCTTGCCTGCCGCCATCCCGCCCAAGACGGTGCATTCGACCCGTGAAGTCCTCAGCCACCAATGCAGCCTCATGATTGCGCTGAGTGTGCTCTCGTTCTTGTTCACGTACAAAGTATGGTGGGTTTCGCTCTTCACGACGGCGGTCGCCAGTATCGGGTACTACGCTTCGGAAATGGTCAAGGACGTGTCTGCAGCGTCGACTTTAGCTGGTGATGCACTCGGTACTGCTCTCACGGATGTCTGCGGCGAGCATTCGACGACCGTGTTGTGTAGGACGGTCATTCCAAGTCGGCTCGACAAAGCTAAAGTGCAAGCGACAGGTCTTTTTGGCTGAATTCGTACGTCCTGCGCAACTTCGTTATCAACAACATCTCGTCGAGTCGTGGCTAGTTTTACTACGCCAGCATCCTCGTGGCTGCTTTTCAATGCGGCGGCGAGGTCATGATGGTGGTCAGTTTGGCTGTCGACATGTCATTCAGTCCAAAGAACGGCTGGGAAGTCGCGTGCATGCTGCTTGGCTCGATCTGCGTTATGGCGCTCGTATATACCACGGTATGCCATACTCTTCACAATTCGATTCAAAGGAATGCCTTTTTCCAGTACAACTCCAATTTGGCGTGCCGAGCATTTCTGGAAGAGCGCCGTTTGCATCCGTCGCATCAACCGCTATTGCCCGTGGTTGATGTGCCGCTGCCGCCACCCGTCGGGATCGCTCGGAAAACTGCCGCCGCCACCACCACCGACCTGTAGACGTTGAATACTGATTCAATCTCAAACGCACAGGCTCCAGTTGACGCGTCAATTTTCCTGGCAACGACGATTTTACCCTAGTACTTGGCCTTCTTGGCCGGTGGCGCATCTTCCACCGAGCCATGTGAGAAGGCACAGAGCGATCCTTTGGTGCATTTGCCTTGGAGGAACCGTTGGCATGGCTCCACGGGGGTAACGTGCCGGAACTTGCATTTGTCGCCGCGCTTGCATGCACCCTTTTGAAAGCTCAGGCAAGTCGGGATCAACAAATCGGGATCCTCTTGCTCGACCGGGTGCGCCATCGGCGTCGTTTCAGCTCGTGCGTTCGGTTCGCTCGTGTGGACATACTTGCACATGTCGCCGCGTTTGCACTTCCCCTTGCGCAGGAACCGCGGGCACACGATTTGTTCATCCGCTTCAATCGAGTCGTTCGGTTGAGTGGACGCGCCAGCGGTGTCATGGCGATACTTGCACTTGCCTCCGCGTTTGCACATGCCTTTGAGATAGCTCTGGCAAATTGGAATCGATGTATCTACCGAGGTCGAAGGAATCGCCGGGGAGTTGTGCTTTGTCTGTGTGGCGGTGGAGCTCAAGCCTGTGGACCGAACGACAGGAATGGCGGCCTGGAATGAAGCCATGCTGTCGACAACAGGGGCGCCGACGGCGGCTGATGCGGCGGGGCGGACGAGGCATGACTTTGGGGTGGTGTCGTGAGGTGCTTTGTGTCTGTACTTGCATAATTCCCCACGTTTACACTTTCCTTTTTGAAACGCCAGGCAGATAGGCGAGTCGTCGTCATCATCGTCGTCCAGGTCGTCGGAAATGGGTTCGTCTGCGCCTTGTGGCGCGCTGGCGGTAGCCCCAGCTCCGCTCGGCATATGGCGATAGTTGCACTGATTCCCTCGTTTGCACTTGCCATTTTGAAATGCCATGCACACGGGGGCGTCGTCCGGAACGTTGTTGAGGGCTTTCGTGGAATGGGTGGTCGCCCCAATGGCGGCAAGGTCGATTGTGGTTGGCGCGATGGACTCGACGTGGGCAAACTTACACGCGTCGCCTCGGTCGCACAGACCTTGCTGGAACTTGTGGCAAATCCCTTTCTTTAGCTTCTTTTGGAGCACCTCCTTGGCCTCAGTGACTTGGGGGGCGTCGCGGGCCCCGTAATCCACCTTGAGCGGCCGGCCCATGACGACTGCGCCGTGCAAGGTCTGGACAGCTTTCTCGCATGCCTCGCCTTCAAAGAACTGGACATAGCCAAACCCGCGGAACTCCTTGGTCGTGATGTCCTCGGCAAACCGAATCGCTTTGATCTCGCCACACACGCTCATGACTTTGCGCAACAAATCTTCTGTGATTTCGTACGGCATATTGCCCACAAACACGGTCGTGCAGCCTTCTGGTCGAGGCTCGATGGCGCGAAGGATGGGGGCGCTTGCTTTGGCCGGGGCTCCACTGCCCGCAGAACCTACAGCAGCGATGACGTCGCTGGATTCGCCGCAATAAATAAGCGCAGGCAAGGACGATGCCGCCAAGTAAATGTCGACAAACCTGTTTTCGGCGTCAGGAAGCGGACGTTCAACACACGTTTCTCCCATTTCTAAGCTCGGCCAAAGCTTGGTCAGTAGCCACAACATGGATGGTGATTTGGTGACGCTGACAGCCCCACGAACGCTTGACCTACCGACTGGTCCATGCCGCGGACTGCATCCAGGGCACTCTCGTACGTCTGGAACGTGACAAACCCAAACCCGCGCGACTTGCCCGTGTTGTTGTCGAGCACCACCTTGGCCTGGAACATGGGGCCAAACGGTTCAAACTTGGCTGACAGAGCAGCGTCATCTGCTGCCATGGGCAGACCAGCCACGAGGACCTTGTTGCGGTCGCGCCACAGCGACTGCTCGTCGTACGCTTGCTCTGCCATCGTCGTTGTCGTGCCTCGTGCTCCCGGCAACTTGTTTGTCCCTAGTTGAAACCAGCCAATTCGATTGGCGCTTGGGTCGCACTGGATTATCCGGAAAACGCCGGATACTGTTTGACAGATTTCGGAGAGCCATTCGTGAATTTGCCATCCAGCAAAATTTTGAGGGATGGCACAGTCACGGCACACGAATTGTTTGTTTCGAGAAAAAGTCACCCGTGGATTTACCGTATCCGGTTGGTATGTAGTTTACCTGCACAGCATGACACTCTTCAAAATGCTCACCCTCGAGGAACTTGGCGCATTGATACGACGGCGTCGCAACGTGTCGTAAAAACGACGTCTACGTCTTCTCTGCCTTCTTGACAATGATGTTGAACGACCACTTGTGCCCGACACGCGTTTGGATCTCAACCAAACGTCTGATGCGGACTGCTTGCATAAATTCCGCTTTGACAAGGCCGACACGCGTTTGGATCGCAACCAAACGTCTGATGCGGACTGCTTGCTTAAATTCCGCTTTGACAAGTCATCGAGCTTGCTCATCTGCTCCGCCTCCCGAGCGTCGTGGTGACTGAAGCGAACGACCGCTGCGCTGGTGTGGAAAGTTTGTGTGTTGTGCTGAGCCGTCTATCCTACCCCCGACGATACTACGACATGATGCAATCATTTGGCCGATCGCGGGAGGCCCTTTGTCGTAAAAAGCTGGCCATCAAGAAAGGTACACTTCTTCAATTCGATAGACAAGAGAAAGTATGAAGGCAAACTGATCTCTGTTACACTTTAATACTTCGTACACGACCCCATAAGCTGCAAGACAGCAATGCAACACGATTTCATCGAAGCTACAAGCTTCAAAAGCAGGTCGGTGTCGAT